CCCCCCCCCGCTCCCCGGCCTTTTGTTTTGTTCCGGGCCGGTGCCCGGCGAGGCCGCCGCTCCCGCCGCCCTTTCAGCTGACGGGAAAGGGCCCCCCAGCCCCGAGAGGCTGGGGTGGGGGGACGCTGGGGAATGAAGGCCCGGGAAGTGACCGTTGCGCTCGCGCGCGGCCGTTATCGCCGCGGACTCACCCGCCGGTCCGGGTCCGGTCCGGTCCGGGTCCGGTGCGGTGCCGTGCGGGCGGGTCCGGCTCGCGCCGCCGCCACCTGCCGCCTCCTCCGGCGCCGCCGCCGGGCGAGCGGGACGCGCCGACGTCACGCGCCGACGTCACGCGCCGCGCGCGGGGCGGGGGGAGGAAGCGCCGAACGCGCCGCCGCGGAGGGGGGAAGGGGGAGGAGCGCGCGCGCCCGTGACGTCGCTCCGAGGCTCCGCCCCCCAGCGCCGAGGGCGGAGCCCGGGTAGGGGGGCGTGGTGACGTAGATTGAGCGCATGAGGAGCCCGGGGCACATCAAGTGCGGGCGGCTGTGACGTAGCGTGACGTAGTGTTAGCGCATAGCGAGCCCGTAGGGGGCGTGGCGTGCGCAGCTGCAAAATGGCTGCCGGGCCCGGAGGAGGGTGGCAGAGCAATGGGGCTGTTTCTGTGCTTTTCTACCCTGAAAGTGCCCTCCCGTGGTGGTAGCAGCTTCCCGCTCTTGTCATTATCGAGGAAATAATCCCGAATAAAAGAGATCCAAAGTCTGAGAAAGCTCGATCCTAAATTTAGTCTGAAATGCTAAGACAAGTGCTGAGGTTTTGGTTTTTAAACCACTAAACTTGTAGGATTCTAGAAGAACCTACCCGTGGTTAGCACTGTACTTAGTAAATGTAACGAAACTGCCTTCAAGGACATGTCTGTGCGGCCGCCTGTCCTGCTGTTTATGGGGGGCTTTTATGAGGCCAAGTTAAACAGAGATTTAAAAATGAAAAAGTAAAAAGACCCTCTTTGGCACTTGAGTTTGTTCATCAAAAATACACTTAATCTTTTGCTCAGCCAGACCTTTATCCTATCAAAGTTACTAAGGTCAAATTCCCATCGGTTTCAATTGGAATCTGATCTGGAAAAAAAAAAAAAAAAAAAAAAAAAAAGGAAGCAAGTCTGGATTCTTCTGGGATCTACAGAGTTGAAGCAAAGCTGCTCTCAGTGCAGGCAGCTTTGTAAGAGCAGGAGCACCACAGAAAAATATACTTGGCAATAAAAGGAAGTCCATGGGTGTGCTTTGGTAGGCTGATGACTATTTACTGCAGTTGTCGGTCRATGGAGAAAGTGTGCTAATGAATGCAGAATCTTGCTTTATGTTTTACAAATTACTGAGCAAAATGTGGAAGATAAAGGAAGCATCACATTGTGCCAATGCTGATAATCCAAGAATTAGATGCATTAAAAGCTACTGGCCTAAAAGAGATAAGAAACATAAAATTGCCTTGGATAGATTGGAGTAAGGTGATCAAAAATGATCTGCTTAAGATCTGTTAAGATTATGCCTTCTAAAAAGTTATTTGCACTCTTATCAGTTGCCATTAACAACTTCTACTTCAGTCAGAATATGTATTATTTTCCTGTGTTTCTGCTTTTGGCATGGAATTATCCCATGTATTCCAAAGATGTTTWACCTACTGTGTATTAGTTCCTACCTGTCTGTTACAACTGAAGCCACCTAACCTGCTTCTTGCTTAGGAGTTCTCTCCTGTGTGTTTGTGTGTGTGTGCGTATAAATATATATATGACTGTTTTCTCCAATGTAATCAATCTGGAGTGTATGTCTGGTGCTCACCACTAAACTGTGAATACAGTGAATTGAAAAGTGAAGACTGATCAGACTAATCCTTAAAATACACCACTTCCCATGTTAAATTTCTGAGGTTCCAACACTAAATTTTTGAAGATATTGTGACAATGGCTAACTATTGATCCACCTCTCGGTGTTATATGACATTTTATACAACAGTTGTTGTACAATATTTTTTTCTGCTTCTTCRAAAGGATATGATACCATATAAAAGCTTTGCTGATATGATTATATTATATTCATTCAGGTCTCAATCCCTCCYGGACTTCCACAGTTCAGGAGAGAAAGGAGAGAGCAATTTCCTTCTGCTGTGATTTTTATAGTCGCTATCAAGGCTGGTTTTGGAGTTAGTGAGGAGAACCTCAGAATTGCTCCGGGAACCTCAGAACTGCTTCGTTATTAGCAGTAAAGGAGTGTAGGATGTCTGGTGTTATTCCCCCTTTCCACACTTCGGCACCTTCAGTGCGTCCTCTGGATGCTGCAGACAGAGAACAGAGTGAAGTTGGCGATGTGACCCTGAGGCCAAAATGAACCTTTGGCTGCAGGCAGTGAGGGGGAAAGGCCAGAGCTCCAAAGCTGCAATCACATTAAAAGCAAATCCTGGTCTTGTTTCAATGACATATTTGCTACTGCCTGTCACTCAGGGCATTTCTTTCCACTGAGCCATTGCATAACACAGAATCCTCATGTTACATTAGCATTTTCATTAAAGTTTTTTTTTTTTGTTTGCTTCCTGTGGCATTGAAGATTAAATAATACATGGAACATTTCTAGATTTTTTTATCATTATTATAGTTTTTACAGCCAGTGGCACAAGCTTATCCCTTGTACTACAAGTTTTAGACACATTAACAGTATGAAGTGGGCTGGYCGGCAGTTCAGCTGGGCAGAGATTCCTCTTGTGTGAAGCCAACATTAGACCATCTTTGTCATCTGCTCTCCCTGACACCTGACAGTCCTGGTGCTCTGGAGCAGTCACTGGCAAACAGTCTAAAAGCAGTGCCCAAGGTGGTATCAGGGAGACAAAAATTAGGTTTGCTTTAAATTGCAATTGTAGTTGTTCTGGTGATGGGCAAAAGGGTCCATGTCCAAAGCACAGTCTTGGATTTACAAGTAGTTTCTCAGTTTGAGTAGAACTATGAAAACTCACATCTACTCCAGCAATTTACACTTTCAGCTTGCTGCACTGARGCTAAACTGATTTCTGGTTGCTATTTGTAGGTTGAGAACGAAGAGTTACAGCCAGAATTGGTCTATGAAAATCCAACTAATATACAGTGTCTGCATTTCGCTTATATAACCTAGATATGTAGCAGCCTGTGCCAAGTACACTTCTCTGCAACCATTTGGGGGGGACTGTGCTGTTCAGTGAAGAGAACAACCTAATATTTCTTTACAAACACAAAGCTGAATAGTGCTGAGGAGGAAAAGTGGTAAAAGAGGTGAGGCTGAGATGTGTTTCTCAGTTCTCTTAATGGTCAGAGACCCATTCTGTCTCTGAATTCCCAGTGTGAGACTCTACTAGTTTTGCTTTCACTTCRTGGCAGTAAAATTCAGTGTAGAGCCCAAAGCAAACTGGTTTTATTGCCGCGGTTGGCAGGCCAGGCAGGACTTGCTTTGGCTAGTGAATAAACACTGACTCCTGCCTTTACCCCGCGGTCGGAGTCGTGCCACAATGTGAGCTGCTGCAGAACTGAAGTCACCCRTGTGGTGATGCAGACAAGCAGAACATCCCGCCACCTCTCCCCACAAAAAGCAATTTGCTTTACAATACAGTGTGTTTGAAACTTTTAGTTTTCCATGCAGAGACCTTCCAGAGTTAAGATCTACTGTTCACAATAGTAAACCTTGTGCTTTAGTCTCAAAACCACTAAAATCCCTCTTTCCCTGATTTCCTCCCCATCAACAAAGACCATTAATGTTGTATTTAAAAAAAAAAGAAAAAGCACGATCTTCAGGATCTTCAAAATCTTGACATTTGAAAAAATGGTAAGGTTAGATTTTGTCTTTCTTTTAAATTTAGCCTCTCACTTTTATACCTGTAGGATTATTTATGCTTTTTATGTAATTCTCTAACTATAAGGCAGAAACTTCCTTTTAAATTTTATTAAAGCTGAGATTCTTGTATAATAATGTATCTTCAGAAGTTGAATCCTTTCAGAAACTAGAACTTGTCAAGATTCTTGACAAATGGAAAATACTGTCAGAGAGAGGAGATAYTTCACATGACCCCATTTTATTTTAGTAAAAGGAACACAAAATATATTCTATATGTTTCATTCCAGCATTAATGAATTACAAGTTATGGCTTCATTTGGTATCGCTATATTACCATTTGGTATATGGTAACCTCTGGGAAGCTGAGGTCATCCAAAGGCTTCTGCTAGAACATAAAGCTCCAGCTGTGTCTCCTGATCCAGCCAGTGCCTTGGCCAGACTCCTGGCTCACAGGGAMCACGCACACGAAATTATTCCTGATAATTAAAACTCGCCTCTGAAACCTGATCCTACTGAGATCAACAGCATGACTTCCTGAGTGGTTCGGTGCTGTTGCTTCCCGAGGAATTGCTCCCTAGTGAGGCCTAGAGCACAGGGTTATTTTTGAAAAGGAAAGCTYGGTACCAAAACTCTTTAACGACATCCACCATTTTGTTGGAGAATTAGCAGAGTCCTCAAACTTTATATATCAGGCCCTCCGAACTCATGAGCACTCAGTAGAACATAGAAGTCCTTAAGAAGACAGAAAAAGAGGCCTGTAATTTTGTTATGCCCACACGAAATGCTGTAATTGCTATGAGCACCGCTTCCTTTGCACTAGAGAGCATGTTGTTCTTCTAACAAGTACTGCTCTTGAATGCTACAGCAGCAGCAATTACAACAGCATCTCCTACAGAAAACAGGCAGAATAAAAATAAACAAAATAGCAAAATAAAAAATAAAGTAAGACACTAATAGAGCAGGCTAGCAAAGAACAGCCACCCAAACTCTGCTGTTTTTAACCATGTGTAGAGCTGTGCTATGGAACTTGATGGGAACTGTAAGTCGCTGTATCGTGCAGAGCTGTTCATGTTGGCTACAACAGGTGACCATGCAGCGTGACAGAACCTCTTCGTCTCTTCAGTGAGGAATAACAACAACATAGTGCTAAGGAAATAATTGAGTTAMATGTTCTTGTTTGATGCCTAGGATCTTGTTCTTTGTAAACTTAAACACTCCGATGTGGTGCCTGTGCTGGCTGATACCACAGGAAATCCAGGATTAGCTCAGGCTTGTAGTGCAGAGTTTAGCTGTACATTTGAAATGCCACTGCCATGCAATAGTGCTTCTTAATGGTTTTTTTTTTTTTTTTTTTAATCTTTAAATGACAATAACATAGACCAAAT